GGTCTTGTCTGGTGTGGTAGATCTGAGCTTCTATTGCTCTGGTGTTTAGGGCCTGTTCCTGTGCAGCCAGGATGAGGGCCTCCGTGCTGTCCTTGAGTCCAGCTTTCTCCAGCCAAACATGATATCAGTTATATCAGCCAAAGTGGCTGATATAACTGATATCAGCCACTTCAGTTATTTGTCGGTGGTACATCCCATGTAGGGGCTTGTCCTCCCATGATGGTTCCTCCAGCACCTTGTCCTCTGTTCCCCATTGCCTGAGACATTCGCTGAGCACATCGTCCGTTGAGGCTTTGTCCTTGATGTATTTATGGATCTATATATATATATATATGGATCTATATATATATGGATCTATATATAATTTTTTTTTCCATTATTGTGTTCTACTTGTATGATTCTTATTTTAGTATTTGGAAAAAACACTGTATATTTTGTAAGTTGCATTGGGCTAACTTACACCCCTCACAGGGGAAAGGAGTATTTAGAAGACATCTTCGACAAACAACATTCACCTCGCTTGTGTTTTGTCAAAGTGAACTGCCGTCGTTCAAAATTCTGTCGGCAGGATGCCGTCACCGGGGAATACAGCAAACTTCCATACAGATAAAAGGCATACATCTTCCAGGGAGGCCCTCCTGGGCCATTTAACAGCCCAAATCCTTCTCAGCTCCGTCCTTTAAAATTCTTGAGAGGTCTTCTGTGGGTCTGCACAAGTAGCGTCTACGAATGTGTGAATTTTACTGGGAGGGCTGCTCTGACCTTGAGTAAAGAAGGCATTCATGGAAGCAGATTGGATGAGCAGGAATAAGGCAAAGTGCTACAGATGTTATGCTACAGATTCCTAACTTCCATATTAACTGAGTACTATCTGTTTCTAGCTTCAGAGTAATGTTATTGAGTCACTATCCATAGTTTGAGAGAGCATGAAAAAGTAATTGTTCTCAGTTATGATATCCTAGCAACTCATTTTGACAACAGTAGTGTAGTAATGCTGATTTTTTTTTTAAATCAAGCTAATTATTTTTCAGTATGGCAACAGACTTTATCCTACAGTCTCCGTGTCTAAAGGACAGAGTGAAAATGGTCAATATGCAAAATAGCATTGAACGTAGAAATTTGAGCTTTCCCATGTTTCACTTTCCTTGGAATAATTGAAAATATTCTGGTAGCTATATTTTCTTATACAGCTGAGAATTTACTTTCATTTGAACCACTGCTGAACAGTCTGGCTATTTGAAGAATAGACTCCGTCCCGAGTCCAGACTTCATAAATGTCACACAAACTCTTAAATGTGATTTGATTCACAGTCCTCTCAAGGCTGCAGTCGTTGTCGTTGCTTGTGAACCCCCGCCCCCTTTTTTTTTTTTTTAAACACATTTTCTTCTAACTCAACTCTTCACAATCCCAGCACTCTGAAGCGCTTTTTGGCAACGTCGTCGTCTAGAGGTTTACTTTACTTTACTTCTGAATGCTGTCAAAACGATGTCAAACGAATCTGGGTAAAGTTTTTTTTATTGAATTAATCAAACAGCCTTTTTTCTACTTACGGTACACTCTAATTTACAAAAAAGAACCTGTATGTGGATTATGTATGTGGGTTGGCTATGAGCACGTTACCCAGGCTAGTTCAAACAACTGCAATGGTTTAGGCCAGATGAAATCTATCTTGACACACTTACCCTCAACAGGGATGGTAAAGACTTCTTTGGGGATGTAGAGCTTATCCTCAGCTGTTCTGGCCCAGTCCTTCATCCCCCTCCGTCCCTTCATGGGAAAGTTAATGTCACTTGAAACTGCTGACACTGGCTCTCTTTGTATGGTTATCACTAAAAACAAAACAAGAGACATTGAAAAACTTTGATCGAATTCAGCAGGAAAAAGAGTGCTTGAGCAAAAAACCGACTGGTGAAAATTATGAAACGAAGGAGTTGATTTTGAAAAGTTATTAAAGCCACGTGTTGGCAGAGGGTTCAAAACTTTCACGAACAAGATAGAATAAGTCCGTGATTGGTGTCAAAACAACGTTTTTTTTTTCCGCAACAAAGGGTGATTTAAGATCCCGAAGACTTACTGAGATTGTTGGTGACTGTCAGGAAACTCTGAAAAGGCTTCTGTGCTTCTCCAATGAAATGAATAAAATCTTCTAATATTCTCATCAGCAAAGCAGCACCGGGAGCGACCTGGGGGAGGAAAGACGGAAAGAAAGGTGGAAACGTGATTCCATTATAGAAATCCAAACCAGCGTCGAGGTCATCGCACAGCTTTTAACGTCAGACAAAGAAAAACACAAAGTAAATCTGTAATGTAGGAGTCAAACGGTTATTTAGTTACCCAATGTGGGAAAAGCTACATTAGAACCAAGCTCACTTTATAAAAATGTAAATGCCCGTGAAGCCTAATAAATGCTTGTGGCATTAGTCCCTGCAAAAATCCCATTAATTGTTTTAATAACAGGAGCTGTGTGGGAATTTTGAGCCATCCTTTGCCAAATTCTGCTAATTCAGCCACATTATATATTCGTCAAGCATCAACACACTTAACGCTGCATATCTTCATCCACTACGACCCACTACGCTGGATAGGGGTTAAAATTCAAGATGAAAAAAAAAAAAAAAAGATAAACATGTAATAATACTTAGTGGATTCTAAAGTGGATGATTGTGAATTCTGATTGCTGGAAGTGGCTACGTTAAACAAGATCGTCGAGTCCCCACGACCTCGCAGCAATGAAAAGCGCAACACAGCAAAGGCAGATGATCAAAGATAAGAAAATTCATCTCAACAGTTTTCTCAGTGTTTAACATTAAGCACAACCTTTCAGCAGAAGATAAGGTGTAGCCGTCGCCAGAGCACGATTTGCTTGTCAAAGCAAATGTTTGATGAATAGTTGGATAATCACAGCTCTGACTGGGGGTTGAAATAGCCTGAAATCTCCATCTACAGTTTGATGTTGTGAGATTTTATCTGAAACGTGTTTTTAATTGACAAAACTTTCCCGTAAATTTCCATTCAGTTTTTTTTTTTTTTTTTGCAAAAATAGATGGTATTTAGCTATATTTTCTTCGGCCAGTACATAAAACGTAGCATATTTCAAATAAAACTTTGAGTTATGCATGCAACACTTAAGTGCTGATGGAGGTACTTGGAGAGTGGAATGTTTTTGGCAGTACTGCTTGGCATAAAAAGTTCAGAAAGAGCTGATTTCGCTCTAGACTGACTAAAAATAGTGACCATGTGGAATAAGATTTGCCGCTGGATTGTTTATTGTTTCCAGATGTCAAGTAAGCACATGTTTACTCAGGGGCATCTGCATGGGTGAAATACTTAAATTTCACATGCGCAAACACACACTGTAATTAAGAGGTGGACACTTTACCTGATGTGCGTCCTCCCACTTCTCCAGATTTTCCAAGTCCAACATGTGGCTGACAATCTGGAAGAATTTCTACACACAGGAGTAAAAACGTAGAGTTAATGAGGGAGGACAATTGTCAGATTGCCCGCTACTATAAAATCCTCCTCAGATGTGCCAGCTGTCAACACTATGGGCATGTTGCATGTCTATTCTTTCTGAAAACTAACAAAAAAACTTTTGCGTAAACATACAATTACAGTTCTTGGCAAAAGTTCCCCCCCACTCTCTCACCTCCCTCCCATCGTTTAAATTTAATTTTAAACCCACAAATTTCAGCTGAGTATTTCTGTGTGATTATGTGTGACGAACCAACAAGATGTTTTATAATTTAGAACTGGAAGGAAAACAAACAACATTTTCGAAATGTATAAATCGAATTAAGTTTGGATATGTATTTGTATTCAGCTTCAATTAGTTAATACTCAATTTATTTGGAGCGACTGCAAACCGATGGAAGGATTGGAAAGATGGAAATCTTCCATGGCAGCTCCGGCTGGACGGTTAGGGTTGTTGTCTTGCTTAAAGGTGAACATCCAATCCAATTTGAAGTCGTCTTGATGTTTTCTTCAATGATTTCTGCCTCTAAGCGCCTTTTGTTTAGCAATGACTTCTTTCTTTTAACTTTTCTTTAAATGCCAAATTTGCGTTATAATTATGCTGCCAAACAAGTTCTCCTTTCTGAGCTGCTGATCTCTGAAGCTCCTCCAGAGTAACTCTGAATATATGACTTTCTGAGTTTGCATGGATTCCATATTAATCTGAGGTGTTCGACACATGCTGCTTCAAACTTTAAGCTACCTTCACTTTGTCGCTGACCTTTGCATGTTCCTTTGTCTTCATGATGATGCTTGTTCACAACTGTTTTTGAACAATTCTCTCAGGTATTTACAGAAGAGCTCTGTATATATTCAGTGACTTTATCTGTTTATTATGAGATTTCCAGAGGAAGCTGTTTTATTTATTTTTTTTGTTGTTGTGGATGGATCTGAGGAAAGGGCATGGAATACAAAAGATTTTGCAAAACTTCTTGAAAGTCGTTTGTCCCCCTTTCCTTCCACTTCAGTTATGCACTGCTTCTTTTGCTGGTGTGTCACACAGAACCGCGGTAATTCATTGGAGTTTGTGATTGCAACTTGACAAAATGTGAAAAGGATAAAGTACCTAAACACATGTGGAGAAAAATTGCATTTGCAAACAGCAGTCTGTTGTGTATTACAGTCAACAGCAAGTCATTGTTTTATTCATAGCCAGTGAAACAAAATATGCATGCTCTTCAAGAAACGCAGAGAAGCGTCTGCGGTCGGGCCCACCTGCACGTCGTCGGAAGCTGGGATGTAGGTTGCTCTTTTGAAGGTGTCCGTCACATTTCGCAGGATCTCCGTGGAGAAGAGAAGGTCGCCACTGTAGTAGCTCCTCCTCTGCAAAAGTTCCAGGAGACTCCGTACGATCTGAGACATCCCCTCCCCGGCCAGGGTCCTCTGACCCTTCGCAAGATGCTCTAGCAACTACAATGCATTGAGAAATAGAGACGTTTAGGGAAACGGATAGCTTCGCCTTTGACTTGCAAAAACAACCGTGACATGAGTGAAACGCATGTAAAATATGCAAACGAAAAAAGAAAAAAAATGTACCATCGTTTTATACTCCATGCCTTAAACACAGCTTGAGTTCGGTCAAAACTTGTAAGCCGATAGGTTGAAAAAGAGAACCCCAAAAATGGTGAAATAGCCAGGCGATTGAAGAAAAAATAAAATAAAATAAAATAAAAGTGTTTTAGCAATTTAAAAGTTCAGTTTTGTGGGTGCAGTGACATCTACAGGCACAGATAAACAGAGTTGTTGTTTTTTTTTTTATTATTAATTTGTATGTAGTATATTTTGTAGAATAGTAAATGGAGAGAAATTACATTTTTATTTTTATTAACTTACAAACAGTGAAAAGCAATCATGCATGTGTGAAATACCTGAGTGTTCATGTGACATTTAAAGAATTAAATCCAGCCAGACAGTGCCAAACAACAATATACGTTTTCATAGCAAAAATAAAGTGTTAAATTTTAAAAATGCATCACAAGAGAAATTGCAGATTTTTTTTTGTTTCTTTTGAAATAAAGGAGTATCTCAAAATGATGTTATGCAGTAAGCTGTGGATTTTATTTTTATTTTTTTTTGGTTTTTTTTTTTTTTGGTATTTATGATCCAAACATGCAAGGAAGGTGAGATGTGCATAAAGTCAGAGAGAGAGAGACTGAAAGAACAGACGATAACAGCTTCACACAAAATGAATAATTAAATTCCGTTAGTAATAAAAGGTTGAAACAGAAGCTAAGAGTGCAAACAGATCTATCACGCATAATCCCTGACCCCCATCTTCTTCCACCATCATGGAGTAGCTTTGGAAAGGTTGAAGTTCACAGAACAGGAAAGGGGTCTCCCTGGTGAACACATTCATTAGCCGAGTTCATTAATTGATAAGTGCGAGTGCAACACCCTGGGAAATCTAATTAGAGATAGTGGGTACTGAAGCTGCGAGTAAAGAGACTGTTCGTCTTCTGTTTTGAGTAAACCTGTTAAAAAATGCAGTTGATTTAGGGGAGAGCATAGCTACAAAGTCAACTTTGAAGTAGAGAAAAACTTTTTTTTTTTCTCCCATTTAACCAAAAAAAAAAAAAAAAAAAAAAAAAAAAAAAAAAACACAACCTGCTGCAACAAAGCGATTCAAATGATGTAACCTGGACAAATACACGTGTTTTCTTCTCCGTGCCTGGGTTCACGGTGTAAATAAATCAGCAAAGAGCAGTTCTGAGACAAAGAGAATATGTGATGAAAGCTAACTTACAGCTAAATGCAGTTGTCTATACTCAAGGGAGACGCATCTGGCGAAGCTCGGAGGACCCCAGAAAGCAACTCCGTTATTGTCCAGCATACATCGACGACTAGCAGATCCTGGAAAAGAAAATGTATTATTTAAAAAACACACACACACACACATTATACAAACTGGAATAAATGTACAAAATATTCTTTAATAATGCACAGTAAAATCCTATCTCCACAGATTTTTTTTTCCTTCTTCAACCATGAAGTAGTTTTTATCTACATACTGTCAAATTCCATCAATTTGGAAAAAAAAAAAAAAATCAATATTATTTAACTTCATGAAGTACTCCTTGAATGGAGAGGCAGCTATTTCATTTGATTTTTATACAGTACTTTTGTCAATACATTCCTCAGCGACCGACACTGAGGACATTGACATTCTTGTTACGGCCCAAACTGGAAATAATTTTGACATTCCGAGGGAAAAACAGGAAAACACCAGACATTTATTGTTCTTTTTATTATTCAGCTCTATTCTAAAACTTTGATCTACGATCAAATGTGATTCTGTCAGATCGGGTCAGGCATGTTTAAATAATAATGACTCTGCGTTCACAGTCAAACATGTTCACACAGAAGCCCATGTCCTGCATGCTTTAAAAAAATTGGAAGTTTGTAAGATTGTGCTTCAAGTTGCATTGATTAAAGGATGTATACGCCATAAAGGCCTCAAATCAATTTGAAACTTGACTAATTTGTTGATTCCATTCTTCGGGTTTTTTTTACAGTTATTTAGCAGAACGTGAGCAATTAAAACTGTTGTTCTTGTTGTTTCAGTACCAATGATGCAATGATATTTCTGCAAAAGTTAATCTCATGATTCGCTCATGTCCTGGTGAAGATTCTCCCATGAACTCGCTCTGAATATAACAGAGTGTATGCTCACTTTTGCATTCTTCTACCACTACTACAACTTTCAGTGACAGACAGGGTTATTAACACCTCTGGTGAGAATATGCTGCAGCATAAAATCCAACCTTCAGTTCTGGTACATAAAAAAAAAAAAGGTCTAATTTTTATAAATCACCCGAGACACAATCATTGGTGCCTCTCATGCGAAGACTTTGTTCAACCCTTTTTGGCCAGAGGACGGCACTTGCTCTTTTCTGTAACATTTCACAATAAAAGGAGGATTTTGTGAGTGTTCATAAATATGAGTGCTAGTTTGCCCAACATTTTAGATCATTACCTTTCTCAGAGACCCGATAGTAACCAAAGATCAGCTTACAGGCAGATGCTACCAGAGTTTAATTAAAAGATCGTCCACCATTTCAAAGAGTTTTGCGATCCTTTGTGTTTCCTCCCTTTGGTTTTAAGCTCAATGTAATTTTGGGTTCATTTTGCATTCAGTGATTATTTTACTCATTTCTATGCTCTTATGTTTGCCATGTTTAGAATTTCTCACTGTTTTCTGGCTGTTTTTCTACATCCATTTCTTTTTATGTACATTTTCGGACTCTGTATTTTATCAAATCTCTACTTTTGTCACTATTTTGCCTACTTCCTGATTGATTTTGGGTCCATTAGAAAAGAAAGAAAAAGAAAAAGAACAGAAAGTTGATACATACATTTTACACTTTAGACCTCCCATCACACTTGGCAGTGGACATGAACCACATTTCCACATTGTGTTCTACACGTCTTAATAAAGGGGTGCAAATAAATCTGACTTACACTGTAAACACACAAATCAGCAAACTACAGCTGATTCCTTCTGAAGGCGCACGTCACTTACCGATAACATTTGTTGGACACTTGTTGTAGACAGTTTCTCCGGCTGAGGCTCTCTTCCATGACATCGAAAGGAGGTGCTCGTCTTTGCATATCTCATGAGGAGCTGTGGAAGAGAAGGGGGCATCATCAAATGTAAAATGTAGTGAAGTCCAGCAGGCAAATAGAGTCACACTGACTCAAGAGCTAAAAAAAACAAAAAGTGACAGAAAAGCCCCCCAAAATACAAGATTCAAATCTAAGCAGCTCCCAAATGTTCTTCTCTTGTACGTTTCACATTGCTCTCAGTCAGTGACATTGCCCCAGTGCAGTATCTCATTCCCTCTTTTTATTCATCCATTTCTCCCCTTCTTTTCATAACCCTGATAAAAAAAAAAAAAAAAAAAAACGAAGCGAGGACGAAGAAGAGAGTCCAAGGGGGAGATGAATGCTGGCAGAGGCAGATGCAGGGAGATGAAGAGGGACAGAGAGCAAAGAGCAAAGACAGAGTGAAAATATATTATATCCCTTGCAATGTCAATAGACAAGATCCTTGAATTGTGCAGAAGAAGTTGGAGAGGTTCCTTGAACAAAAAGTGAGGGGTCACAGTGGAGCTTTAACCTTTGTAGCCCCTCCCCCATCCCACATGCCCCCTTGAAGCTCAAGGCAAGAACAGACACTCAGACATAGGCGTGAATATTCAAACAGTATCCGTCAAGAAACCGATAAAGCACAGATCGGACTGTTGAGCAAAACTGTCCCTAAGCAGAGAGAACAAACAGAGAAGCACAGCGGCGTAAAACAGGCAGGGAGCTGAAACATATAGAAACATAGTTAGAGAGATGAAAAGTAAAAGGAAACTCAGTAAACTGGCAGGATAAAAAGGCAAGCACTACAAGCCAGGGCAAAAATTAGAAAAATATGGTAAAGAGAGAGAAGAGTCAGAAGATAATGAAAAGACGAGTGCAAATGGAATTGCAGGAGAGGTCAATGGAGGAAGTATGAACTAATGGAAAATGCACCTATTTTTTCCTGACAGCTATTATCCATGTACTTTGAAGACAACATCTCATATTATGGTATGTCCCTGCTAACCTGCCATACGCTCAGCTAACTGGTAATGAAGAGTGTAAGCTATCTATTCAAAGTCTGCATGAAAAATCATCACTGGAGAGTTGAGTGGAAGGAAAAGTGGAGTAGAAAAAGGTACAAAAGCAACAAGACACAGACAAAGCCTTAGGAAGATTGTAAAACAATGTCCATTCAAAAGTTTGGGGGAAGCTCATAAGGACTGTTGCTGGAGTCAAGTCATAAAGTGAACCCCATATTGAAATCTCTTGCACAGACAAGGCTGTATTTCAAGAACTTATTTCTGTTAGTTGATTATTTTTGGCTTGCCACTGCTGAAAACACAAAGTTCAGTTTCTTGGAAAAGCTTTTAAGTATCACATACGTTTATTTAGTAATTGGAAATTTCTTGTTTGGGTCTTCAGTTTTTTTTTTTTTTTTTTTATAATATTAAAATTTTATGAAAACAAAGAAATTTTGGTTTTCCGTAAATGTAAGACGTCTTCGCAACGAACAGAAACGCTTAACATAAAACATTGACTGAAATGGGACTATACGTCTTAACTGGAACGGCTTTACAGCAAAACATGATTATTATTGTTGTTAAGATGCATCTGTGCACAGTTCACCATTTAGCACTCCGACACACAGCACAGGCACGCAATCACTGACCGGGGCACTTCTTCTCGTTGCAGGACCGGACCTCCTCTCCTGAACCTTCACAGGGATAGCCTTGTTCTCCGCTGCCCTCGCACATCCTGTAGCGCCGCTGCCACCCGGAGTCGCACGTCTTGCTGCACAGACTCCAGTGGTTCCAGCTGCCCCAGTTACCTCCACCTGACGCACAGGCATGTCACCACCAGTAAGTATCGGGAACAGGGTTCGACGTGGAGGATGAAAGTAATGGCGAGAAGATATAATGGCTATTTTTAAAGTGACTCATGAAGACATGAAGAAAAAAAAAACAAAACAAAACAAGATGTTTTCCCCTAGAGGGTTCTTGTAAAGAAGAAAAAGAAAAAAGAAAAAGAGACAATTCAAATTAGGTTGCCAAACCGGAACACATTCACATGTGGGAAGGCATAAGCGTTCCTTCAAAGACCGCAATACTCTGTGTTTACATAATGCTGTTCAAAGGCATATAAAGTGCCATGTCTGAGTGCTTTTTTTTCTCTTCTTCTTCTTCTTCTTCTTCTCCGCCTTACCGCTGCATGAAGGGTTGGCGCATTCCCTGCTCTCCTGATGAAGCCCCTTACACTCGGCCCAGCCATGCACCGAGGGACTGCAGCGCCTTTGCCTCATCTGGGTGCCCGTGTTGCAGGTCACGCTGCATTTTGACCACGCGCCCCACTCCAACCACTGGCCCTCCACTGCACAGCAGGGAGAGAGAGAGAGGGAGAGAGACAGAAAGAGAGAGAGATGGAGGCGGGCGAGGAGAGACAGAGCAGATGGGTGATGGCAAGGAGAAGGAGTGGATATCGAGGCAAGGAGACATGAATTTACAAGAGAGGAGAGCAAAATGTGGAGTGTAAGTGGGGAGGGAAAAAGAAAGAGAGAGAGAGAAACAGGCCAAAGGATGACAAAGTGAGCAGGCAACAAGAACATCGTTTCAGGGGTCAAGCACAAATGAATTTAAGGCTGAGGACGCATCCACGGAAAAGCAACACCACGCCGCATCAAACTCCCCATCTCTGGAAATGTTAAATATTTTAGTCCGCTCCAACATACAGGGTTAGAACGATTGCTTTGTACGTCGTTTGCGAGAGTTCACGGAGAGTGCAGTCTAGTTCATGTTTTCTTGATATTGTTCCGTAAGGCTCTTGACTGTTCGGGTGTGGAGTAGAACGTGATGGACAGTAATACGGGCGAAATACAGCGGTGATATAAAAGCTGGATCGTTAAGTAAGTCATGAGAAAAAAGATTTGAATGAAGAAGCAAGAGATGAAACAAGGAGATTAAACACCAGGCCTCAAAAGACATTACATCGGGTGGTGTTACATCAGATTCAACTTTTCCTATTTAGGCGAGCTAAGAATGTTAAAGACATTTTATTTATTAAATACCAGATAAAGGCTCATTATTAATTTTCAGGTTACATGCGCTGCTGTTATAATATTTTTAAATAATGTACGATAGTCCAGATTATAGGTCAGCTTGTAAGCTTCGAAACAACATGGGTTTTTCAATCAAATTCAAACAAACTGTCTTCTGTGCTGGCATATACAGAAGACAGTTGTGGATCTGCACAAACGTGATCGTTGCTTGGGCTCGGTGTCCAGATGTCTCACGAACCAGCAACAGACTGGCCCTCTAACATTCCTGCTGACTGCACCGACTCGTTTTGTCCTTGTGAACACGACACATATGTGCAGCAGAGTTTTAATTCAGGACACAAACCCATTTCACAGTTTTGGTTTACGTAGAATAGGTTGCAAAACTGTGTTAAACATACTTATACCATGGACTCTAATGAAATTAAATATTTCTATTTTCCAATAAAACACTTGTCTCAAAGTGGTTAATTTTGAGAGATTTTATTTTTTTTTTTTAAATAAATGTTTGTTGTAGTTCCAAGACCTTCAAAATGTAAATATATACATAACCTGGCAGAAAATGTCAATGTCAGGTTTTGCGTTTTGATATTCAGAAATGTGGTCATCATAGGAAAATTAGTGAGGTTCATGTAGAATAGCAAACTTGCACGGTATTATAAGAATGTCACTTGGTATTGTAGTCGTGCTCCCTTTCTATATTTATAGTACAAAACAAAACAATATGAAGGGCTTTAAAGGTGGAAATATTTTTTTTTCTGAAAATGACATTTTCAGAATATTATGTAAAGGAAAAAAGTTGAAGCACACATCTGTAAATGTGTGCTTTCTCATCTTGACGTTGGGTAATCATGTCTTTGTGAGAATTTTGTTTTGTTTTGTCTTTTTTTTTTTTTTTTTTTTTTACAAAAACCACGAGCAAGGACAAACCAGATTCAAGTGTGACTAACACTTTAAGGTTGTCATCCTGCAGTTCCAACCGAAGGGAAATTAAAATCATCCATTTAAGTATGTCATGACATCGTCACCAGGATTTTTTTTTATTTTATTTTCACAATAGCCATTGCATATACATAACAATTAAATAAGTGTTTGATATAAACTATTAAGAACATATATCATTAAAAAAGCTTACATCACTTGTGTGAGTGGCCTATTTTAATTGTACGTCATGTTTGAAAGTTTTTATTTTACACCAATCGTGGTTCTGATCAGAAAAAAACGACTTATGAAATATGAATAATAAGTCTGATAAACTTCCTGCANAGACAGTGCCAAACAACAATATACGTTTTCATAGCAAAAATAAAGTGTTAAATTTTAAAAATGCATCACAAGAGAAATTGCAGATTTTTTTTTGTTTCTTTTGAAATAAAGGAGTATCTCAAAATGATGTTATGCAGTAAGCTGTGGATTTTATTTTTATTTTTTTTTGCTTTTTTATTTTTTTGGTATTTATGATCCAAACATGCAAGGAAGGTGAGATGTGCATAAAGTCAGAGAGAGAGAGACTGAAAGAACAGACGATAACAGCTTCACACAAAATGAATAATTAAATTCCGTTAGTAATAAAAGGTTGAAACAGAAGCTAAGAGTGCAAACAGATCTATCACGCATAATCCCTGACCCCCATCTTCTTCCACCATCATGGAGTAGCTTTGGAAAGGTTGAAGTTCACAGAACAGGAAAGGGGTCTCCCTGGTGAACACATTCATTAGCCGAGTTCATTAATTGATAAGTGCGAGTGCAACACCCTGGGAAATCTAATTAGAGATAGTGGGTACTGAAGCTGCGAGTAAAGAGACTGTTCGTCTTCTGTTTTGAGTAAACCTGTTAAAAAATGCAGTTGATTTAGGGGAGAGCATAGCTACAAAGTCAACTTTGAAGTAGAGAAAAACTTTTTTATTTTCTCCCATTTTAACCAAAAAGAAAAAAAAAAACAAAAAAAAAAAAAAAAACACAACCTGCTGCAACAAAGCGATTCAAATGATGTAACCTGGACAAATACACGTGTTTTCTTCTCCGTGCCTGGGTTCACGGTGTAAATAAATCAGCAAAGAGCAGTTCTGAGACAAAGAGAATATGTGATGAAAGCTAACTTACAGCTAAATGCAGTTGTCTATACTCAAGGGAGACGCATCTGGCGAAGCTCGGAGGACCCCAGAAAGCAACTCCGTTATTGTCCAGCATACATCGACGACTAGCAGATCCTGGAAAAGAAAATGTATTATTTAAAAAACACACACACACACACATTATACAAACTGGAATAAATGTACAAAATATTCTGTAATAATGCCCAGTAAAATCCTATCACCACAGATTTTTTTTTCCTTCTTCAACCATGAAGTAGTTTTTATCTACATACTGTCAAATTCCATCAATTTGGAAAAAAAAAAAAAAAATCAATATTATTTAACTTCATGAAGTACTCCTTGAATGGAGAGGCAGCTATTTCATTTGATTTTTATACAGTACTTTTGTCAATACATTCCTCAGCGACCGACACTGAGGACATTGACATTCTTGTTACGGCCCAAACTGGAAATAATTTTGACATTCCGAGGGAAAAACAGGAAAACACCAGACATTTATTGTTCTTTTTATTATTCAGCTCTATTCTAAAACTTTGATCTACGATCAAATGTGATTCTGTCAGATCGGGTCAGGCATGTTTAAATAATAATGACTCTGCGTTCACAGTCAAACATGTTCACACAGAAGCCCATGTCCTGCATGCTTTAAAAAAATTGGAAGTTTGTAAGATTGTGCTTCAAGTTGCATTGATTAAAGGATGTATACGCCATAAAGGCCTCAAATCAATTTGAAACTTGACTAATTTGTTGATTCCATTCTTCGGGTTTTTTTTACAGTTATTTAGCAGAACGTGAGCAATTAAAACTGTTGTTCTTGTTGTTTCAGTACCAATGATGCAATGATATTTCTGCAAAAGTTAATCTCATGATTCGCTCATGTCCTGGTGAAGATTCTCCCATGAACTCGCTCTGAATATAACAGAGTGTATGCTCACTTTTGCATTCTTCTACCACTACTACAACTTTCAGTGACAGACAGGGTTATTAACACCTCTGGTGAGAATATGCTGCAGCATAAAATCCAACCTTCAGTTCTGGTACATAAAAAAAAAAAAGGTCTAATTTTTATAAATCACCCGAGACACAATCATTGGTGCCTCTCATGCGAAGACTTTGTTCAACCCTTTTTGGCCAGAGGACGGCACTTGCTCTTTTCTGTAACATTTCACAATAAAAGGAGGATTTTGTGAGTGTTCATAAATATGAGTGCTAGTTTGCCCAACATTTTAGATCATTACCTTTCTCAGAGACCCGATAGTAACCAAAGATCAGCTTACAGGCAGATGCTACCAGAGTTTAATTAAAAGATCGTCCACCATTTCAAAGAGTTTTGCGATCCTTTGTGTTTCCTCCCTTTGGTTTTAAGCTCAATGTAATTTTGGGTTCATTTTGCATTCAGTGATTATTTTACTCATTTCTATGCTCTTATGTTTGCCATGTTTAGAATTTCTCACTGTTTTCTGGCTGTTTTTCTACATCCATTTCTTTTTATGTACATTTTCGGACTCTGTATTTTATCAAATCTCTACTTTTGTCACTATTTTGCCTACTTCCTGATTGATTTTGGGTCCATTAGAAAAGAAAGAAAAAGAAAAAGAACAGAAAGTTGATACATACATTTTACACTTTAGACCTCCCATCACACTTGGCAGTGGACATGAACCACATTTCCACATTGTGTTCTACACGTCTTAATAAAGGGGTGCAAATAAATCTGACTTACACTGTAAACACACAAATCAGCAAACTACAGCTGATTCCTTCTGAAGGCGCACGTCACTTACCGATAACATTTGTTGGACACTTGTTGTAGACAGTTTCTCCGGCTGAGGCTCTCTTCCATGACATCGAAAGGAGGTGCTCGTCTTTGCATATCTCATGAGGAGCTGTGGAAGAGAAGGGGGCATCATCAAATGTAAAATGTAGTGAAGTCCAGCAGGCAAATAGAGTCACACTGACTCAAGAGCTAAAAAAAACAAAAAGTGACAGAAAAGCCCCCCAAAATACAAGATTCAAATCTAAGCAGCTCCCAAATGTTCTTCTCTTGTACGTTTCACATTGCTCTCAGTCAGTGACATTGCCCCAGTGCAGTATCTCATTCCCTCTTTTTATTCATCCATTTCTCCCCTTCTTTTCATAACCCTGATAAAAAAAAAAAAAAAAAAAAACGAAGCGAGGACGAAGAAGAGAGTCCAAGGGGGAGATGAATGCTGGCAGAGGCAGATGCAGGGAGATGAAGAGGGACAGAGAGCAAAGAGCAAAGACAGAGTGAAAATATATTATATCCCTTGCAATGTCAATAGACAAGATCCTTGAATTGTGCAGAAGAAGTTGGAGAGGTTCCTTGAACAAAAAGTGAGGGGTCACAGTGGAGCTTTAACCTTTGTAGCCCCTCCCCCATCCCACATGCCCCCTTGAAGCTCAAGGCAAGAACAGACACTCAGACATAGGCGTGAATATTCAAACAGTATCCGTCAAGAAACCGATAAAGCACAGATCGGACTGTTGAGCAAAACTGTCCCTAAGCAGAGAGAACAAACAGAGAAGCACAGCGGCGTAAAACAGGCAGGGAGCTGAAACATATAGAAACATAGTTAGAGAGATGAAAAGTAAAAGGAAACTCAGTAAACTGGCAGGATAAAAAGGCAAGCACTACAAGCCAGGGCAAAAATTAGAAAAATATGGTAAAGAGAGAGAAGAGTCAGAAGATAATGAAAAGACGAGTGCAAATGGAATTGCAGGAGAGGTCAATGGAGGAAGTATGAACTAATGGAAAATGCACCTATTTTTTCCTGACAGCTATTATCCATGTACTTTGAAGACAACATCTCATATTATGGTATGTCCCTGCTAACCTGCCATACGCTCAGCTAACTGGTAATGAAGAGTGTAAGCTATCTATTCAAAGTCTGCATGAAAAATCATCACTGGAGAGTTGAGTGGAAGGAAAAGTGGAGTAGAAAAAGGTACAAAAGCAACAAGACACAGACAAAGCCTTAGGAAGATTGTAAAACAATGTCCATTCAAAAGTTTGGGGGAAGCTCATAAGGACTGTTGCTGGAGTCAAGTCATAAAGTGAACCCCATATTGAAATCTCTTGCACAGACAAGGCTGTATTTCAAGAACTTATTTCTGTTAGTTGATTATTTTTGGCTTGCCACTGCTGAAAACACAAAGTTCAGTTTCTTGGAAAAGCTTTTAAGTATCACATACGTTTATTTAGTAATTGGAAATTTCTTGTTTGGGTCTTCAGTTTTTTTTTTTTTTTTTTTATAATATTAAAATTTTATGAAAACAAAGAAATTTTGGTTTTCCGTAAATGTAAGACGTCTTCGCAACGAACAGAAACGCTTAACATAAAACATTGACTGAAATGGGACTATACGTCTTAACTGGAACGGCTTTACAGCAAAACATGATTATTATTGTTGTTAAGATGCATCTGTGCACAGTTCACCATTTAGCACTCCGACACACAGCACAGGCACGCAATCACTGACCGGGGCACTTCTTCTCGTTGCAGGACCGGACCTCCTCTCCTGAACCTTCACAGGGATAGCCTTGTTCTCCGCTGCCCTCGCACATCCTGTAGCGCCGCTGCCACCCGGAGTCGCACGTCTTGCTGCACAGACTCCAGTGGTTCCAGCTGCCCCAGTTACCTCCACCTGACGCACAGGCATGTCACCACCAGTAAGTATCGGGAACAGGGTTCGACGTGGAGGATGAAAGTAATGGCGAGAAGATATAATGGCTATTTTTAAAGTGACTCATGAAGACATGAAGAAAAAAAAAACAAAACAAAACAAGATGTTTTCCCCTAGAGGGTTCTTGTAAAGAAGAAAAAGAAAAAAGAAAAAGAGACAATTCAAATTAGGTTGCCAAACCGGAACACATTCACATGTGGGAAGGCATAAGCGTTCCTTCAAAGACCGCAATACTCTGTGTTTACATAATGCTGTTCAAAGGCATATAAAGTGCCATGTCTGAGTGCTTTTTTTTCTCTTCTTCTTCTTCTTCTTCTTCTCCGCCTTACCGCTGCATGAAGGGTTGGCGCATTCCCTGCTCTCCTGATGAAGCCCCTTACACTCGGCCCAGCCATGCACCGAGGGACTGCAGCGCCTTTGCCTCATCTGGGTGCCCGTGTTGCAGGTCACGCTGCATTTTGACCACGCGCCCCACTCCAACCACTGGCCCTCCACTGCACAGCAGGGAGAGAGAGAGAGGGAGAGAGACAGAAAGAGAGAGAGATGGAGGCGGGCGAGGAGAGACAGAGCAGATGGGTGATGGCAAGGAGAAGGAGTGGATATCGAGGCAAGGAGACATGAATTTACAAGAGAGGAGAGCAAAATGTGGAGTGTAAGTGGGGAGGGAAAAAGAAAGAGAGAGAGAGAAACAGGCCAAAGGATGACAAAGTGAGCAGGCAACAAGAACATCGTTTCAGGGGTCAAGCACAAATGAATTTAAGGCTGAGGACGCATCCACGGAAAAGCAACACCACGCCGCATCAAACTCCCCATCTCTGGAAATGTTAAATATTTTAGTCCGCTCCAACATACAGGGTTAGAACGATTGCTTTGTACGTCGTTTGCGAGAGTTCACGGAGAGTGCAGTCTAGTTCATGTTTTCTTGATATTGTTCCGTAAGGCTCTTGACTGTTCGGGTGTGGAGTAGAACGTGATGGACAGTAATACGGGCGAAATACAGCGGTGATATAAAAGCTGGATCGTTAAGTAAGTCATGAGAAAAAAGATTTGAATGAAGAAGCAAGAGATGAAACAAGGAGATTAAACACCAGGCCTCAAAAGACATTACATCGGGTGGTGTTACATCAGATTCAACTTTTCCTATTTAGGCGAGCTAAGAATGTTAAAGACATTTTATTTATTAAATACCAGATAAAGGCTCATTATTAATTTTCAGGTTACATGCGCTGCTGTTATAATATTTTTAAATAATGTACGATAGTCCAGATTATAGGTCAGCTTGTAAGCTTCGAAACAACATGGGTTTTTCAATCAAATTCAAACAAACTGTCTTCTGTGCTGGCATATACAGAAGACAGTTGTGGATCTGCACAAACGTGATCGTTGCTTGGGCTCGGTGTCCAGATGTCTCACGAACCAGCAACAGACTGGCCCTCTAACATTCCTGCTGACTGCACCGACTCGTTTTGTCCTTGTGAACACGACACATATGTGCAGCAGAGTTTTAATTCAGGACACAAACCCATTTCACAGTTTTGGTTTACGTAGAATAGGTTGCAAAACTGTGTTAAACATACTTATACCATGGACTCTAATGAAATTAAATATTTCTATTTTCCAATAAAACACTTGTCTCAAAGTGGTTAATTTTGAGAGATTTTATTTTTTTTTTTTAAATAAATGTTTGTTGTAGTTCCAAGACCTTCAAAATGTAAATATATACATAACCTGGCAGAAAATGTCAATGTCAGGTTTTGCGTTTTGATATTCAGAAATGTGGTCATCATAGGAAAATTAGTGAGGTTCATGTAGAATAGCAAACTTGCACGGTATTATAAGAATGTCACTTGGTATTGTAGTCGTGCTCCCTTTCTATATTTATAGTACAAAACAAAACAATATGAAGGGCTTTAAAGGTGGAAATATTTTTTTTTCTGAAAATGACATTTTCAGAATATTATGTAAAGGAAAAAAGTTGAAGCACACATCTGTAAATGTGTGCTTTCTCATCTTGACGTTGGGTAATCATGTCTTTGTGAGAATTTTGTTTTGTTTTGTCTTTTTTTTTTTTTTTTTTTTTTACAAAAACCACGAGCAAGGACAAACCAGATTCAAGTGTGACTAACACTTTAAGGTTGTCATCCTGCAGTTCCAACCGAAGGGAAATTAAAATCATCCATTTAAGTATGTCATGACATCGTCACCAGGATTTTTTTTTATTTTATTTTCACAATAGCCATTGCATATACATAACAATTAAATAAGTGTTTGATATAAACTATTAAGAACATATATCATTAAAAAAGCTTACATCACTTGTGTGAGTGGCCTATTTTAATTGTACGTCATGTTTGAAAGTTTTTATTTTACACCAATCGTGGTTCTGATCAGAAAAAAACGACTTATGAAATATGAATAATAAGTCTGATAAACTTCCTGCAGGAAGACTCCCATGATTGTAGCATCATAGCATAATAAGTAGATTACAGTAAATCACTCAAACTATATTATGAATTGTGAAAGCATTGCACAATTTCCTCAAGATGGGTATGTATTTATATTCAAATTTTTCATTGTAAAGATCCTTTTAAAAAATTATTTTTTACACTAAAAGGTAGAAAACGGAAACAAAGCAACAAAGACACAAAATAAAACATCAAGTGTAGTCTTGACTACATAGAACAGGTTTTTTAAAAGTAACAAACCACAGAAAACTTCCAGAGGCATTTTGTGATCCAGTAAGGGGATCCACTGGTGAAGCATAAATTCCAGAGACTTTCTTGGTTCTATCAACAGGATAACAAGACAGGCGTAATTAACATCAAACAGCAGCATCTAGACTGCTGAGGCACAGCTACGCTCTGCTGCAATGACAGCATGAATATGTTTTGAAGAAAACAGTAAAAAAGAAAAAAAAGGGAGTGTTTCTCTACGTCCTTGCCACAAGAACTCCAGAAATTAGCCAATTAAATCATCTGACCAAAGAATTTATAGAAAAAGAAAATGTTTCTACCTGATAATGAGTAGGAACGTATTACTGTTAGTTGAGAAAGAAGAAAGAAACAATACTTCACCCCACTAACTGTAAACAGAACAAAAAAGAAATACAAAAGGAGGATTGTTACAGACTCTTGCAAGATAAAAGTCTCACAGTTCCCCAACATGGATAATGTCTGGAGAGACAATGGATAGAAATGCCTCAAACCCTAATTGGGAGACCAGGCCGAGCACAAGGCAAATACTTAAAAGCTGAACTATGTCTCAAAGACAATAGCTCGTTTCAGAAAGCAGTTCCATCATGAACCCAAGAAGACAACTCCATCTGGCTGTTCATAAGTCACAAATCTAGCTCTCCGTATCCCACGGAGAGCTAGATGTAGGCTTTCTGAAATAAAAATCATCATTGTGGAACCACAGGAAGCACTGAGGGGAAAATCAGCAGGACCGTTATTTTAATATGCACAACATTTTTCTCAGACATCTCCCTTTCTTTTGAGTAAAAGCCATCTGTGGTTTCTGATGCGTCCTCGGTTTCGTTCCGTTTGTCGTTTCTACTTAACAAAATACTAAATGTCGACTTCAGCAGGAAGGAACACATTTCAAAAATGACCAGTCTGTCATCACTGCATCCCATCGTTCACTACAGGACTGTCACCGCCTTGCTTGGGAGCTGGGTGAATACTTTTGCGGTGTACGTCACGTGACATGTTGTTTTCCAAAACGACTTGAGTTCAAAAACATGAAGTTCAGGTTCGGCTGCTTAGTGCCCGTAAAATATAAACATGCAACTTTATGCAAATGAACGCAATCCATCAAAGTTTCATTTCTGCGGTCAGTGGTGGTAAAACATCTCATTCTGGTGTTCAGCATTTCAAAGTACAGTCGCCTTTAAACTCCCGAGCACAAGCCGAAGCTGTTGTGACATAGACGCAAATACACAGGCTCCCCTAAGGCCCTGCAAGGAAACGCACACACTTTCTACCAAACTTCACTTCACATCAACTGTTCGGAAAACCGCGAGGCAAAAAAACAAGCCGGGGGGACCTACTTTAAATTATAGCATTAGCCTCTCCCCGTTTAAAAAAAAAAAAAAAAAAAAAAAAAAAACTTTATTGCCTGTTTTTGCACCATCAGTGACAGTTTTGTTTCTTGAGGAGTGACCTTAGAAAACCTCTGCTTTGAAAAGCACCAAAAAAAAAGAGAGAGAAAAACAAAGTTTAGCCCCGGAACATTGGGAGGAAAAATTATAATAAGGCTCTATCTCAGATTCAAGCTGCACCAGCATTCATGCAAGAGTGGAAAATGACAGGGTCTTCTTAGTATTAATCTTTCCAAATAAGAAGCACTTATGCAGTGATAATTTCTAAGGCTTTAGGCGATTACAGAACCAAGCAAACACGCTCTCGCTTGGACTCGAATCAATTCAAGAAAAATAAAAGGCTATTAGTCAGAAAGCAGACACCACTCTTCTTAAACTGTCTGATGTTTTATTATCTGTGCATCCATTAACAACTCTATTCCAGCTCAGAATCCATTTGTCTGACAACACAGAAAAGCCGGAGCAATTGAAATCCCGAAATTGAAATTTCTTTTGTGATGGAAATCATTTTAGACACAGTCCGACAAAGGAAAAATTAAAGCACGAGCGCAAACAAAAGAATACTCTGCAATCAAAAATTGTTGAAAAGCAACACTTACCTTTTGGTGTTACTTTTTAAATCTTAAGCCGTATCTGGCACGCTGCTTGAGGGGGCTTTCTGTTCAAATCTTGCTCCACCCATTGTTAGGAGACTTTTGCATTAAGACTTTATCTCAAACACGGCCGAGTCCTACTCCACTCTGGGCTGATAGACATTTCAGCTGGACAATCTTAGACACACTGGAAGAAAGGCTGGTGGCACCCTCGACAGCAAAATTAGAAACAACTGCACTCTTAACTTATTGCAAGTTTTTTTTTTTTTTTTTTTTCACAGGAAATAGACTTAATGGATAATCTCAGAGCAGAGAAGAGAGTTGAGCTCCAACTGGTGAGGAAACTGAACCAAACCAAAAACGGATAGAGATGGAACTGGAAAGTATCGTAAGTATAAAATCAGGCTAAAAACCTTTAAAACAGGAAAAAAAAAAAAAAAAAAAACCTCATAAATTTATTTTCAAACTTACACTTATACATTGTAAGCTTTTAACCAAAGCAATCTCTTTTTCTTACTATGCGTTTCTTTATTAGAGCCGGATAGCTGCGTTAAAGAAGGTAGAAAGGGAAGAAAAAAAAGACAATTTTCACATAGTGAAGAGAGGTAAAAAATTTTTGTATTAAAGAAAATGAAAGAAGATCCAGTAATGGTTTGAAGATCAAAAAAATAAATAAATAAATAAATAAAAATAACAAATGTATTTAGGAAGATTTATGTGCCGAGGCTGTTCAGGCAAATGTATTTTGTCGGATTTACAGGGACTGTAACAAGATCTCATGACATATTAGAAGAGCACAGTGTTTCCTGTCAAAGTGTCTCAGGAAGAATCGTCTAATTGCTGCCAGCATGAGACTTTGTCAGGCGAAATGGGTTCAGACTGTTACAGCGATATTCAATAAGTTAGAATGTTATTGAAGACGCTTCTTTAGTTCTTTCATGTCTTTGTTTTGTGTTTCACTTAAGAGAAGCACGCAAAAAACTATGTTTAAGCCAGAAATGTGAAAAGTGTAATTAATACCCGTTAATGCTTATTTTTAAAAGACACATTTAATCAGACTTATGAGCCTCATTCACATTAATCTGCGTTAGTAATTATGACTATTATGACTCTTACCAGTGCACCTATGTTTACTTATTTCAAGCATAAAAGCAAGTTGTTGTGGAGTGGTTGCCTTAGTGTTTTAGTGGGATTTACTGATGATTGCCACATGAATTTTAAAAAATAAATAAATAAATAAAATAGCCTCTTGGAGCCTCTTGTCCAGTCATTTGTGATTGATGAAACAAAAAGCAAATTGAAGATTTTTCTTTTTTGTTTGTTTTTCTCAAAACATTGCTTTTCTCCTGAAATCATCATAATTTGTGTTTAAACTTTTTAATTTGAAGAGAGAAAACTATCCCAAAATTCTGCCTAATTATTCTTCCATTTAGCAAAAACAGAAATGAGACGAGACAGAAAAAAAAAAGAAGTGTTTTTATACACTGTGTAGATATTTGGCTATATTGCACACCAAAACTTACACGTTGCAAATTGACATCATTTGTTGTTGTAAGGCAGTAAGAAATTTTACCAATTAGAAAAAGTTTTGTAATCTCAGAGTGAGAAACAATTAAAATGATGATCAAAGGGACTTTTCATAAAAGTTCAAAATATTTTATAAAACATAAGATATTTTTGTCAGATCTAATATTAACCATAAAGTGGACATTTTTGTCAAGGGGGCTATGATGGAACAACACAAAATAATAATTCAAATGCTTGCAAATGTACAGCTTACGACCAGAAGACATGAAACGCTTGGTTAATGCGACAACAAAGGCATGCGGCGTAAGCATCAGGAGCGAAAGAGGCTTGCTGCAGTAGGTTAATGAGGATGGTACTAACCAGGACAAACTGCTATGTTGCAGGGTTTGGTCTGAATGTCGGGCTGGCCGCAAGGCGTCACCCCACCTCCATCCATGCACTTCCTGGTGCGTGTTCTGGAGCCCCGCCCACAGGTAACAGAGCACAGACTCCATGACGACCACTCCTCCCACTGCCCATGCACTGCGAACACCCACGGACATGACGCACGGACACAGAGATGGGGATGAGGGATGAGCAAGGGAGGAAATAAAGGGCAAAAAAGGATGGAGCATTCCGGGTCAGGCAAAAAGGGGGTCGGAGAACGGGAGAAACAAGAGATCTCATGAGCATGAGCACATTCCCTAAGACACCGGATGGAGGTGGCTGTCTCACCTCCAGGCTGAAATCAAATTACAAAGTAAAAGGCACAGCGTAGGGCTGCACTCTGAGTTATTACATAAAATAAATGAAGGTCAGGGATAGGCGGTGGTATTTGAAGTCATGCAGGCAGGTATGCAACTCCAATTAAGACGAGGAAATAGATGAGACATTTGCTTTTAAAATTATATGAACGTCAAGGTTTCCCCTAGAAAACTTGCTAAGCCCGGTGGTTGGGGCGCTCAGCAGTCAATCAGCTGTGTTTTGAGTTAAAAACGTGTTTAAAAGTTGGCAGGAAATTGTAAAATATAATTTGCAAAATTTGTGTTACTGGAAGATTAATATCTGAACACCTTTAAATAATGCTATGGGAGGGACAGAGGTAAAGCCTGGTGGCACATGATACACTGGGGGAAACCCAGAACTTATTGCATATGGTCTAAAATCTTACATTTTTATTTCATCTAACTATTACACAAAAAAAATAATATACCATCAACAAGTGTGCTGCGTTACTTTGTGGCTTGTGACAAACTACTAGCAGAATATCATAACATAATGATTTTCCAACTGAACAAAATATCCACGACACACTTTTTACTCTTTTATTTGTAAAAATACTTTGGAAACCATGTGTGATTTTCTTTTAATTTGCAAACTATGCACTGCTTTTGGTTGGTCAGTTATAAAAAAAAAAGTGCAGTATAGTTTGTGGTTACACTGTGACAAAATGCAAAAAACATCAAAGTCAGTAAATACATTTGCAAATCACTCTATGCATTAGAGTTTTACACACCAAACGTATTGTGAAGAAATGGTGCAAAAAAGAAGAAAATATTTTGCAACAACATAAGGCAAAAACAGAGGAGAGATATAGTTAATATAACAAATGAGAAGAAACATCAAAACATAGTTTGGGCCACTGAGGAATCTAGAAACTGAGGTCATGAAGACGGATTAGAACATTCTGAAATATTCAGGGAGAAACCTCAGGAAAAAGCCCTTGGATGAGAGGAAGTCCGGGAAAGAGGGGCGAGCATTTGAAGAGATGCTGGAAAAAGAGAGCGAGAGAGAGCGTGCAAAATAAAGGAGGATGTAGAGACGAGGAGGGGCAAAAGGAGGGTGTACGACCAAGCTGGAGAAACTTAGAGACAGGGGGATGAAGATTGCAGCTTCTATGTTGAGCAAAGCTAAATAAATCATTGCAATAAATAATTAAAGCCCCTCTGTGAAGGAACGCTCTGAGCAGCAGCAGTAGAAAGCAGATAGAGAGAGGGAAGATAGTGGGATTTAAAAAGTGTGGGGATATGTGGAGCTGGTAAATAGTGAGATGTCCTTAAATTCAGAAGAAGAAGAAAAAAAACGTGTTATCAGTGTATGCGCTGCTTTAACCAAAAGACCTGATGCTGTAAAAGTTATGGATAACTTCAGAGCATTTGAGATTTTCTGAATCATTTAATGCAATGCATATTTATCAGATTTTACTTTGGGACCTGTTTTGATCTAGAACCGGTTGTACCAGCATATTTTGATGAATATAAATACTGAACCGGCTTTCTTGGCCTGTGTTTATTTTTGCGAGGAGAGTTGTCAGCCTCAAGCATTCAAACATATTCAAACATTTATGTAGGATCAGATTTAGCCTGGTTGTACAGGGCAGTGAAAAAACATTTGTCTGACATATTTCCTGTTTTTTTTTTTTTTTTGCTGTTGTGGAGGGCGGGGGGTTAGTTTCGTAGTTAAATCCTTTGGATGCACACACAAACTTTTAATGTCAGACAAAGATTGGTTGAATTTTGACATGGGACATACATAACATGGTGTGCATGGGACAACCATGCACCGCGGTGTGCGTGCATGGTTGTTTGTCCTGTCTGAACAAAAACATCTAATCATCTAATCATAAGTCGGTGTATAACAATAGCCCATATCCCGCTTATACAGGAGCTGTTAAATATGATCACTAATTTACATCTCAGGAAAATGACGACATTCTTTTCCCTCTCTTACCTAACTTTAAGATGAGCATACCGTAATTAGACGCAGTCGTTATATTCTTACAGCAGGTTGACACCACGGCTGGATATTTTTGCTTCACTATTTTCGAGGAGAAGAGGCAGTAATACACTTTTAATGTGTCAATGCTCCTGTGTGTACATTTGCATGCAATCATAAATCTGTAATGAGTTCATTGTTGCATCCTTGGCTGCACTCCCGGCCCATTGCTGGGATGATTGCTAGAAGTGTGGCGTTGTACCATTTGACTGTGCACTGACCCAAATGGACTGTATTCATGATACGCTATTGCTGCACCAATGTTTAAATGCCACTGGATCTATGGTAAATGAGCTGTAGCGTAATACAATGTGAGCTGAAGTACTACCCCTCTCGCATGCTTTGGGCCATGTAAACCGTATACTCAATCACACTCACTAAAAAAAAAAAAAGAAATAAAAAAAGAGTTAATTTGCCAAACCAATTACTGCCGAGTGTCTTTTGTCAAGAGAGACTATTACTTAAAACTTATCATCAGCAGCCCATTAATTTAAAAGTTTTCCCCATGAAAGGCTGAGAGAAGAAAATGTGTATTTTCCACTCCATTGGCTTTTTTTTTTTTTTTTTTTGTTTTTGTCCAAAGTACTTTTCCTTAATGTTTGCACTCTTCTACAGACAATAAATAGTACTTACTCTCACAATACTTTTGGGAGAAGGGGTAACAAACTCGCCACATCTCAACAAACTCAGAAAAGGATTACAATCACAACTAGCTTTGAAAGACTTTTAGTGTTTTCAGAGCAGGAAATATACACTTTAGTTGTATAACTAGTCCTTATTACCCTGGACAAAAAGCTGCTAGTTATTTTAAATTGCTGAATTATAATGACTTTGTTTCCTTTCAGTTTAAGCTTTGTATCTTTATCCTTTAGTTTGAATTTCATCAGTTGTTGACTAAGTTTTGGCATAGAGTTGCTTGGTCATATATTACCTGGTTAACATTTTGGAAAACATTTCTTTATGTTAAAAAAAAATCAGAAAGTGCTGAGTTCTTATTTTCTCTCTCCTGCAGTCAGTAGCAATACCTGTGAAAATGTTGGACTGGGCAGCAGGTTCTTTAAGAATCTGTAATCAGTCTAGAATACTGCAATCCAGGTCTGACCAGTCCACAGACAGTGATTTTCTTGCTTGTCGCAATCTTCAAATAAAAAAAAAAAAGGACACAATCTCCCTCTTTTCAACTGTTTTCCCTTGTAGAATAAAGTTTTCGTAGATCTCGGACAATAATCCAGTTCAGATTTGACAAATCTGTAGCTTTTCGGTGACCTACATGTGATTAAATGCATCCCAGACTCCTTACAAAACTGAAATCTCTCATTTGCTGTACAGAACTCTTGAAACAGCATCAGAAATTGCCTTCGGGTGAGCCATTAGCTCACCACGGTACACACCCATATTTTTCTTACGATGTCTACCCAATGCATGCACCCATCTCACTTTTAACTGGGTGTGTAAATAAGTTAGACAACTAGGTTAATTTGATTTTGCCTTGCGGTGCCCTCGAGCCTCATCAGCCTGGGAAGAAAGCTATGAATATCTCCTGTATCTTAAACTGCCACCGAGATTTTCCGCAAGCTAAAATGTAGCTACTGACATTCTTAATTAGCTTGCATCTGTATACATTCCATGTATATTTATGCCTCTTTCGAGAGTGTGTTGTTGTCAGCGTTGACAATAGATAAACAAATGTAGAAAATCATTCCAAACACTTTCTGGAGCAGCAGAAAAAGTCAAATGCAAGTTCACTGAGCGCTTCTGATATCATCCCAACAATCCTACTTACTTAATATTGGTGCAATCCTATTCTGGCAGTCCCATGAGTGCCAATAAAGCCCTCCACAACCATGTCAGAAAACATCAGAGGAACCGAGGGCAAAATGAAATAATAAACGGAACATAACACAGCAACCAATATCCCATCAAAGGAGCAGCTGAGGATATTACTATCGACACGGAATAGGAAATGAGGTGCTTAGACATACAAATCGGCCTGGTAAATTTGCATAAAGACAAGATTAGCATATGCACTGACAAGAGAAGGCAAATTTTCCCTTTCGCTTTTCGTGGGGAGGAGGGCTGGATCAGTAAACACTCAACACTTGAATCCTATGTGAAACTTCAAATGGTGCAAAAATAGGACGTCTAGAAAACCCAAACAAAAATGCAAGGAAACCTGCCAAAATGAAGCTTATCTAGAATTAGGAAAACAGATCAATTTCAGTCTTTGTATGCACACAACGCTTTTAGTATTCATAATATTGCAAGCAATCTGTAGCACACTGTGAACAGATCATAATTGGTTTAAAGAATATATCAAAAGCAGAAAATACTGGAATAATCAGAAAAATACAATTAAGTTGTTAAATTCTTTCTTTTAAGTATTTGTCGACTTCCTTTTGATTCTCCAAGGAATTTCACAACTTTATCTTATGTTGCAGTTTCTCAATACTGAGGGGTGAAGTCAACATGATCAACATGAAGTCAACATAAGCAAGTTAGATTTCTGCGCAACAATCACAAATAGATAAGATTGTCAAAGGGGCCCACATGACTAACAACACTGGAGAGAAAAATGCAAGTATGGTAAAACAACAAAGGTTGCTCTGCAGCCTCATCAAGATCTAAGTTTCAACTGTAATCAGCCCAATCAAAGTAGTTCTGGACTGGAAGCCCTTCAGCCTTTCGTCGAACAAAAACCAGTATATACTGGTAATCAAAGAGAAGCAGAATTGACCTCGCTAATAGTGCTGTCAGTCTATCTAAATTGAAAGTGATTACATCTAAACTCAAACAAAGATAGTATCTGCTGTTGGATTTTTTTACGTTTTAAGGACTTATCACTGAAGTTTAGGCAATCCGTCCGTCACCAATCAGTGATTCTCGTCTATTTATGTGTGGCCATTTTGGCTGTTATTGAAATCATAGAAAATGAGAGCTATGTTTAGAGTGAAATCTCTAAATTTAGGGGCAATGCACTGTGTACTTCAGAGAAGTGCTAGGTCTACTGGAGCAGTCGACAAACTAAAACTAAAAAGAGTTTGAACGTCACTTTAAGTTAACCTTTTAACCAGAATCGGGTGTATTTCTAGCTTGATCGACGTTGATCCATGATGCACACCGCACTGTACTACATTCATACTGAACATACGATGCCAACTGACAACAACAGTCTTTGGCATGGACGTTATAGCTGTGTTAAGAGGACTCAAATTCATCTATTTTCAGCATCAGTGAAGAAGCGCAAAAGTAAAAAAAAAAGAAGAAGAACTCAAAAGGAAACATCAACATTTTGAGATGTGCTGCATTTCACTGGCTGAGTGCAAGATTGAGGGACATTTTCAGCAGGCAGCAGGAGGACTTCTCAAAGTAAGAGCACTGTACAATGTCAGGAAATTTACCAATTAAGAAAATGCAAAGAAAAAGCACAAAAAACCCAATAGGTTCCAACGGGGCCTTTATAGAATGCAGCCGAGATGCTTGTTTGCCGTACCTGTACTTATGATTCCAGGTTCACCAGGACAGGAAACTGTGTTGTTGCACATGCGCGTTTCCCGCAGAGCACCACTGCAAAGCGTGCCATAAGGAGAGGAGACACAGGACCGCGTCCTCACTTGCCAGCCTTGCCCACATGTCAGAGAACACACACTCCACGGCGACCACTCCTCTGCCGCCGGATCACCTAAGGAGGGAAATGTTTAGGTTGAAAGACGATTCTCTGCATTTTGTTTTTTCAATGAGCCCAAGTCTTTATTTGGATATTTGTTTTTTATCTTTCACTTTTTAACCAAAGTTATGCTATGTTTAGATCAAAGAGAGTGCCATATTTTCTATTTCTATTCAACGATAATATGCTTGGATGGTAGGATGTACTCTTATTAATGGGTTAAAGTGTGGAATCCATTTTGGAGATGTTAGGAGAACTGGAGCAAGTAAAAAGAAAAAGAAAGTTCTAAAAATATTGCATAGTCAATTTTAAAATCTAATATTGCTGTAAGCACAAACACCTCATTCCAAGAAACAAACCTCACAAAAGTCTTAATTTTGCATCTTCATAATATTGGTTTGTGCCATTCTTGTTTGGCAATCATACTACTCTCTTTAGTAAACAATGTTAACTGACTAAATCTATCTCTTAGTTAAATTACTATATATGACTAAGTTACCTTTATACATCTTCCAAAGTATAGAAAAAACGATCTATAGAGGGGAAGTCAAGAGCAATAAAATGCCTGCATTTCTGTCAACTGGCATCCATCTGAGTCATCAAGCTCAAGAACAGAAAAACATGTCCAATATTCTCAGGGGCTTGGTGTTAGTTAGACAAGTGACTGAGAAATAGAAAAGCCAAGAAACAGATGTTCCTTAAGTGGAAGAGAGACCTTGCATTCACAAGAGAGTACTGGAAATCGTTTGATCGAAAGGCTATAAGATTTCATAGAAAAAGAAGAAATGTGGTGAAAATATTGGGTATAGTGCATTTTTTTAAGAAGAAATTAGGTTTTTTTTTCTTCAATTTTATGCTCACGATACTATTAAGATTAACATTTTATGACTGCAGTAAAAAAAAATGTTTTCTTTAGTCAGGCTATTTATTTCACTTGCTTAACACCAACTCTGTAACAGGGGCTGTCAATCAATTACAATACTTTGTGATAAATCACATGTTGGCCATAGTTTGTGATTCACTGCATATTTCTAAGAAACCTTAGAATATGTTCATAATAATCCAATGAGCATTGAAACAACACAAATAATGGAGAAAAACTGATTTTAAATGGGATTACAAAAAGTAAATGGAGAACATTGCAAAAGATACGTCTTATGTTTGTGCTGGTTTCAAAATTTGTATTTGTTTGATGCTCCTAAAAACATGAAAAAAAAATCAGACTTTACAGAGGAAACTGATCCAAAAAGTCATGACAAGTTTTCCTGAGGAAGATTTGTTAGAAAGAGCTTATTGAAACTAAAAGTCATAAAAGTCTGCAGAACTTATTTAGATCAAGCTCAAAAATGTTTTCCATGGATAGATTTTAAACCTGCTGTTTAGAGTACATCGTTTTTGATGTAACAGGCATAACCTGGGACTATTTCTTGTGTCTGATGTTTTTGTATTTAACCATTGTCATGTTGTTTTCATTGGTTCATAGAGGCTTAGTGTTGGATAACCCATCCGTTACGGACGCAAATTATGTTTTTGCCATGTTGTTCTTGTCTAGAACAGTGAAATAATTCTGGGTATCTTCCCATTTCCTCCTCCTGTAAACTGTGAGCACCATTTACAGAGTAGAGCAGAAGAGTAGAAGAGGTGGACAGCAGGGGAGAGAGAGAGTGGAGCTGTTTTCAGAGATGACATTTTAATTAATGGCATATTATTTTAATTAATGGCGTATAGAGAAAACAACTGAAACAGAGCAGGAATAACATTCAAACTACAGCACAGAACATGAAGTATGAAAGCCTGTGCTTTAATTGTGTGTAAGAAAAAAAAAAAAACAAGGTTAAACTCAATTTTGCTTCTGTGGTTAACGCCTTAGCTTTGACAGCCCTACATGTTATATTTTAAAATTTAGATTATTTCCACTGGTATTTTTATTTCGCTTGTTACTCATCAAATTGACAATCCAACTGAAACACGATTGACTTCTGGAAAAAAAAAAAATGGACGACACAACCTGGATTCATATGGAGCGTGGCAGCATTGTTGCGAGATCCAAATCTGAAGAAAGATACTAATATTATCATAAAAAGACAAAAGATGTAGGTCATCATTGCAGATAGGCCTGTCGAGGAAAAGAAATCCTATCTGAGCAGTCTGAAGGATAAAAAAATAAATACATTTCAAATCATAATTCATAGAAAAACATCTTTAGCACCCATACAAGTCCGAGTGCTCGCCCTTGATGTGCAGTTCTCCAGCCAGCTGTGGCGAGGGTCCCATTGTTCCCACTCAGTTATGCCCTTGAAACCAACAATTGAACACAACTGTAAATTTCCTCTCCCCCCCTTTTAAATTGTTTATGAGCTTCGTTGTCCTTTGATCGGGGCGTCATCACACGGCAGAGGAGGAAATCGAATTAATTGCATGTCCGTTAATCGCATTACATCTTCATTAACATGCCGTGAGTCAGGGCTTAAGCTCATCACACGTGCCTGGAGGAGAGGAAGAGAGGGGAGGAGCAGGGAAGAGCAGGAGGGGAGAGCAGTTGAGAAGGACAAGATGGAAACCGGGGTTTCCCTCTCCATAGGCTCTCCCTCCTCAGCACAGCGGTGGCTTTTTGAAACGACTGTCTCCATGAATCCTAGCCCAGGTAAGTATTGGATTCATTAAGATAGAAAGTGTTATCTTTTCTTCAAATGCTAGAAGTCTCAACTTAAACCACATACAGTGCCTTGCAAATGTATTCAAACGTCTTGAACTTTTCGACATTTTGTAAGAACTACAAGCTACAGTGTTATTCATTAGGCTGGTATCGAATACGCCAACATAAATCTGTGCCCAACTGAGAAATGGAAGAAAAATGACACGCGGTTTTTAAGTGGGAAGTATTATGTATTTTCCTGTCACTTAGTGTCATTTTCTAGCACAATAAAGTAACTATGCAACCTTCAGTTGTTATAAAAATGCTGCATGTAAATCAATCGTAACTTAAAAGAATTTGATGAATTAAAACTGGCCTCTGCCTTCAAAAAGCTCCTACACTTTCTGATGTGATCACAACTACGGTCCTCCATTATGTAGTTTACAATCGTTCTTTTTAGCATTGGAGTGAGAAGTAGTTCATATGATAATCTTGCTAATTGCTGCCGATGCTAGTCTGGAGGAGCTGAGTGAGGGAAGAGGTGCTTCTGAAAATAACAGCCTCTAGGTGGGTATTAAATACAGTTTTCATTAAGCATACGTCTCTCTATTTTTAAAATATGGACTGATGTAGTATTCTAATGTTACTATGCTAATGTTTTCATTAGCTGTAAGTGGAAAATCACCATAAATAACCAAAATAAAGGCTTCCAATCATCCATCTGTGGGTAATTAATATATGCAACATCTTTCACTTGGTGATAAAGCTCCTAAAACAAATGGGTTTCGAAAATATTCAGAGTTTTCGAATGGGTCTGTAATTAATCTTCTTTAAGTCGTCCCACTGTGCAAGCACACAAAGAACTGAAACTTTTCAGGTACACGACAACTTTCGGAGGTCAAGTTGTTCTTCATTTGCTCCAGGAAGCGAAGACTACCTCACATTCCTAACACTCACCTGTTTGTGCCTGAAACACACCTGGCAGGTCAGCTGATCGTGGCCTTTGGGTCTTCACCTTCAGGTCGTCATCGTATGGGTCTGAAACAAGCAGGAGGCATAAGCTATTAATCTGAAGCTCAAAATGTGCTTTTTGAGCGCATTTTTTTTATGTATTGATCAGGTACTACAGGTGTGTAATAGTTTTGTCTATGCTTCAGCTTTAATGCTTCGGCGAATAGGAGCTCGGCATCCTCCACTTCCATTTTTGCACATTCATGGAGGTCAAAATAGACAAGTTTTGGTACATCCAAATCACGACTTGGCAAAATAAAAACACAAACGCCTACATTTCCTTGGCTTGCTCCTCATAGCAGAAAATTAACGGGATGTGCTGATGCAGTTTGACGCATAACGTTCACACTTAGAAAAATGGAATGTCAAATCTTCATAATTACCGAAAACCAGAGAAAAGGTCATTTCCAAGAACTCCTCGACTTTGAAAAACAACATAAAAGGCGCTGTGATGCTGCTGTGCATCAAACACGACATGATGTAAAACTTCACTAATTCAAACACTCAAATAAATAAACAGGCTGAATAGCCTGAGCTTTGGTCGGTCATTTCAGAAACATGATGCAAGTGTTGAGCATGTATGGAGAGGGAATACGCTTCCTGAAAAGTATAGCAAACAGTGCGGAAGTCTGTTTTATCTCAGTCGGTACAAACGTATAGTTGCATGAGCCGAGGCTGTTGTGTGAGGTGCAAATTGATTTGTAGGCTCAGCTTCACCAGCACAAGACTTAATCAACTCCCACAGCAGGGGAAACAATCCTTGATTGGGTAAGATCTTCTTCAGTTTGCCGCTTCTTGCCAGTGGGATATTTAGCAGAAGTTATATTCATAAAAACAAACAAACAAACAAAACAAAAAAAAGGAGCAAAGACAAACGGCTCAATGTCTGAGGTACATGATCCACATGGGATGCCAGTTTATGTGTTAGATTACGCAGCGCATAAATGATTGACAATCAAAATATTTAGCATTAACCTAGAGGATGAACTAAGAAAGAATACATCAGGGAAACACTGCCGCAATGATCTGCAAATTAACACTCAAGAAAATATGTGGTAGTTTTGCTGGTAAAGATATTAAACAGAAGTGGCTGTTGTAATTTGACTCTACAAATCTGTCAAATCATCCAACTCTTTTTCCAATAAACTTCTGTTATACTTTGTTCTCAGCAGATTTGTTTCACCCCTGGACATCTCCAGTATATAAAACAAATCCAATATGTAGGCTTGTGATTTTACATTGCTTTTCCATTGTTCAACATTCTGTGAAGCCTGATTACTGCACTTTCTGGAAAAATACATAAAGAATGTGGTTTTGGCTTTAACACTAGTATTGGACAAGATCATTCGGAAACGCAACGGAAACAACAGCAAATAGCAACGTATGAGATGGTAAAATTTCACGGCAAAAACAAAGTCCTTGTGTACTCTGAGGAGATTCTCATGGATTTACATGATTTGTTTTACATACTTTTTGGCAGTTTATACTAGCTAAAAAAGACATACATATTTGTCTCTCAGTGACTACATTTCTTTTTTTTGTTTGTTTTTGTTTATTGGAACCAGTTTTATTTATTGAGACTTTCATAGGTCATCATCTACCAGTTTTAGTTATTTAACATGACAGAAGAATATCCTATAAACTGACATACCATGACTTGTGTCGTATATGCCCTGGATTAAAGCTAACAAAAAGACTTAGACTGAACTGAGCCTTTGAATTCAACATAATGGCACATTATAAGAAAATATGTATATATATATTTAAATAAATATGAAACAATTATCTTACAGTTATCTTACTCTCAAAAATGTACTGCAGTTCTTTAACAGTGAGCTTTGAAGATTTTTTCTTATTCCCTGTTTCACCATCTTCTTCAATGTTCAATCTTTTCAGAAAAGATTGTTTTGATTCATTAGTTTTTTGATCATGAAGCTGCTAAGTGCTTTCTTATTTATATTTTGCTTTTTGCTTTCAGGTGGAAACCCTTGTCGCTCTGGAGAGCAGAGAGTTCAGTGAAGCAGCGCTGGCGAGTAATGTCTCACATAAAATGACCAGCGAGAGCTACTTCTCCATCCTATTGTTTTCCTTTTCCCCATTGTTTGTCTCTCTTTGCCTTCGCTGCACAGAGGAGGATTTAGATGGATGCCGGAGCAGAGTTCACGACGACCGAAAGGGGAGATCAATATTTACAAACCCGTTTGAGCGTTGACCTTTCACAAACTCCGCCATACTGTTTAATGTTCTGGCCTGCACTTTAATGGACACATCATCACGCACTTCATCAAGCTGTCCTGCCCCCTCGTACGCCTACTTTATGCACTTCAGGTTTTTGTTTTTTTTTTCTTTCCTTACAATCTCAAGGGGAGTTTATCCTTGAGATGTTTTGCTTGGAGTGTGGTAATAACTTTGTCAAAGCCAACTGGAGTATGACTGAAGTAAAAGAAAAAAAAAACATATTTCTGCTCTAAGAAATGAAGTGATCACATCCTCTTAAGCTGCAGGCGCTAAGTTGATTGAAAAAGCCTATTAATATGTTGAAGTGAATGCAAATCTGAGTAAGCTCAACATATGAATTATGAATCTGCCTTAATACAGGTGATTTAAAGAAGCAAGCTTGATGCTAAAAGAGGTGTAATTAAATCAAGCACCTCTAATCCGGTTTCCTTTAACCCCCTATTCTGGTAATCGTCTGGGAATGCAGCTATTGACGCAGTTGCATTGAATTAAGGGCTAGGAGTTAATGTAATAATGTGGGTGTTTTCTGGCTAAATATGTCTCTCCAGCTTGGGCACAGAATCTTTAAACGACTCTCAAGTGCTGCTCCGGTAATTCAAGGGTGTCAGTAAACATACTGTAAGTTATTACAGAAGTGCGTTTCCACTTGGCAGGGTGCAAACGTAAATCTGTTTGCCGATACTTTTGGAGAAGACTTTAATCTAATTTTAAAGAAGTATTAAAAAAAAAAGAAAAAAAAAAAAGAATGTAGGTCAGATTTAAAGGTACAAAGCTGTGAAAAAAGTGTATATTTTCCCCCCTTTCATCGCTAGTTTTGCTTTTCTTTTTGCCGATATTAATATCAAGGATGGTCTAACTGAAAATAAAATGCAGTTTTTAAATTATTATTTTTTTATTAAGGAAAAAACGTCACCCAAACCAACCTGGCCTCATCTCAAAAAGTAATTGCTTTGGGTTGTCATCCTGCTGCATAGTCAAAGTTCAATTCTCCCCCAGTATTTTCAAGTGGAGAGAAGAATTTATCGTTCTATCAGACACTAGTGATACAGGTTTTATTTATGTATTTACTTTATGTTTTTGGTCAGCTGTCATTTTTGCCTTGATATTGTGACATGGATGCCATTTAGCAGTGGCTCTATTACACAAAAATTACCCAAGTTTCCAATTATTGTGTAAGCCATAACATGATATTTATGAGCTAATGCACTTCAATATATGTGTCAAAATCATACAAATTAACTCATATATATGAATTTTATTCAATATGTGTGAATAAAAATACCTTTGGAAACTTTTTATTGATGCTCTTATTTACAGATATTAACTAACTCCACAAATCATTCTATAAATTTGCATAGCATTGATAGTCCCTAAATCAAAAGGTCATAGTATTGATTCAGAACTATAAGGCCAGGTGGATTTTAAAATAACCATTTTATTTGATTTCTAAATTTGAGGAAACATATAATTTCACATCTTTACTTAAAATATCAATCTGTTATTACCTATGCATAATGATGGGGTAGACGTTGTTCTTTTAGTCTACATGGTGTGACAGCCCAACAATTTTCAAGTCCAGATATTTTATTTTGCGCTTTTCCTTTTTGTCAGATGACCTTCAACAAAAGCAACCACGTTAATCAAAATCAAATGAAAATTGGAAACAAAAATAAATTACTCCGCTGTGCAGAAGGAGCAGAAATCATTCCTTGAAATTTAATAGTTTGCTGGGTCTAATAATCACTGGTTAGTTGGAATTCATTGCTGAAAATCGCAGCGTTTCTAAAAGCATTCTTGCCCGCCTTCCATTCTCCTCAGTGCTTTCGACTGGCGCCTTCATCACGGTGTTAAGAGAAGGGGAGACCTTCGAAAAGCAAAAACAAAAACAACATAAATCCAAACCGATACACGGCCCAAGCACCAAAGCTTGAATATATATGAGCTGGACACACATACCCTGTGATACACATGACATAACTGTTTTGAGCTAGTATAAAGAATCCTTAGGA